AATTACATTATGAATGGACGGCAGAATAATAAAAAATGGCTATTTAAAAATGTTTTAAATTTACTTGAAATAAAGTTATTTCTTTCTTTCAATGACAGACTATCGAGGCTAAATATCTAAGTTCTCGAAACAGGTAATATATAAAAGGTTTTTATTTGTTAAAGGTAATGGGATGGTAATCCTGTCGGCGGTAACAGTATACGTTGTCGGTGCACCAGTGACGATGGAAAGGTAGGTAGGTCAGTTAGCCCATCGAGATTAATACACTTGGAATATATCACGATGGTTTCCAGGAGGGACCACGGGGCGGTTGACTTGACAGGATATACTGTTAGCAATGGGACTGGAAGTCCACATTACTAACAATTCCTCCCCCCATGAAAGGTATCAAGTGTAGCATAGTATATTTTGTAATAATTCTGGGGCAAAAGAGCTCGCCTCGTGACCCCCAAGTGAGCTATCCTCAGAAGGTTAAGAAGACCAGCGAATAAAAATGAATTTTAGATTAATCATACCATCCCTTAACTGTCCACTGCTGAGCATAAGCCTTCCCCAGAATGGTAATTTTGCTGGTAATCGCCACTTAGTGACGTTTTAAGAGGGACGCTGCTGCCCATTCCTCTTCTCTAAAGTTTCCTTAGTCGCCTCTTACGACACCCACGGGAAAGGAACGGGTGGCCCATTCTATGCCGGGACCGACACGGTGATAAAAAGAGACTTATTTAAATACTTTTTTTCCGTAAATACATACATATTACATACATACAGACAAGACCCAAACCAATGTAAACGGACATAATCAAGAATACAAGAAGGTTTATTTATTTATTTAAATTGTGATACATAAGTAATAATAGATGGTATAACAAGATAACTCCTCTATGATCAACCCCATCTATCGAAGTATATAAATTTGCAATTATATAAGAAAAAAAAATATATAAAAAATAATCAACAATATCACATTTATAATAAAAAATTATAATATAATGGAAATTTATTACATTTATCTCCAAGGAAATCGTCAAAGTATGTTCTGTTTACTTTTACCGTTTACTATTTGCGTGTGAGAATCGAACCAGCTGTCGTAGATAGGTGAAACGGCGTGTTAAGCCGCTAGACTGATGTTTAGAATATTCTTAGTTTCTGATGTAAGTATAGATGAAGGAATGGTACGTATTACGCACATTTTTTAATTCAATTTTGAAATGACATCACGGTTGCAAATTTTATTACACATTCACGCTCGGTAGCAACCGGAGTTAAACGAATTAGTGGGTACGGGCGTTGCGTCGTATACGAGTATGTAGGAGTTGGTTGGGCATTTTGTTAATTTTGATGCGCACAGATAAAGAGCATGTTTTAAGAATGGTATTAGGTATGAATGTTGATGATTTTAAGGGTACAAAAAAACCTAAAAAGACTTACTTAAAAACGAGAAAATGACTAGTAAACAATAGAATTATTTATTGCTAAAAATTTCGTAAACACACATTTATTTATCTATTTAAATAACTAAGAAAATATGTCACAAAAGGCCGACTGCCATGAGGAACGGGGTCGTTCCTTATGGCAGTTTACAATTGGGGAGGATTTTTTTTTATACAACTTAGAATGGCAAACAAGCTGACGGCCCACCTGATGGAAAGTGGTAACCGTCGCCTATAGACATGAGCAGTACCGTGGACATAACAGAGTATACTGTTTCGCCCATGATACCCTCCATGCGTTACCATTCTTGAGGACTCAGGTGTTATTCCTCTGTACTCAGTAAATTCACGCCATATCCCACCCTTCAAACCGAAACACAGCCATGCAAACACAACTGCTTCGCGGTTGAAACACGAATGGGACAGAGGTACCCAAGCAATCGACTTTTGTACAAAGTCTCCCTCTGGTGAAAGGATTTGCTAATAGTTGCCACGTTTAGCATGCGGGTTGTTGATGTTTTAAGAGGGACATAGCTGCCCATCTTTCGACCACTGAATTCCTTAAATTCCCGTTATTCAGTTGTCAGATTTGACAATTTTTTTGTCTACCTCATGTTACAATGATAAATAAACATGTTGAGATAATGAAATTGGACGAGAATCGCTACTATCCAAGTTGGGGGTAATGGATCACCGGTAAGGGATCTCACTGGATTAAATCTGATATAGCTATACGTATAAGAGTTATGTTGACGCTATCAATCTTAGAGAAGTTGCGTGAAAAGGGATTAATTAAATAGCGACACAGTATAGATACGGCGACACAGTATATATGTACATATATATACATATTATGTACTTGTATCGCATTGATTGGTTTAATAAGTTCACAGGTATACAAGTATTATTTATCTACAGCTAGTTTTTAACCGCGATTTTGACTACATGGCCAGGATACACAGTAGACTGTGTCCTGTGTTGTATCAGCTATTGACTGGCCATTGCTGAACATAGCCTCCCCCATAAGGGGTGTTGCCAGTAGTTGTCATCCTTGGCAAGCGAGTTGGCAACCGCAGTTTGGCTTTTGGTGATATTTTAAGAGGGATGCTGCTGCCTATCTCTGTATCATAAGCTCGCTTAGTCGCCTTTTACGACACTCACGGGAAAAGAAAGGGTGGCTTATTCTATGCCGGGACCATACGGATATTCTGTGTCTTATAGCATTTTTTTTAATGGATTATAATGGAATGATATCCCCGCCTGCGGTAACGGTATACGCTGTTGGGGCACCAGTGAGGGATGATAGGTGACGACGAAAGCAGGTCAGTTAGCCCATCGTGATGAATTGCACTAGAATTAACCACTATGGTTTCCAGAGGGAAGCACGTGGAGCTTGACCTGATAGGGTGTATTGCTAGCAATGGGGCAGTTTTTTTTAAAGGATGATATTGGAATGGTAACCTCACCCACGCTATCGGTATACACCGGCTGGGTACCAGTGAAGGATGATAGGTGAGGATGAAGTAGGTCAGTTAGCCCATTGTGACGAATTCAACAAGAATTGTTCACGATGGTTTCCAGGGGGAACCACGTAGAGGTCGACCTAATAAGGGATATTGCTAGCAATGGGGCTGTCAAACTCCATTGCTAACAATCCCTTTCCCCCCGCAATAGGGCAGTTAGACCCCATTATTAACAATCCCTTTCCCCCGTGTCTTACAGTTAAGAGTAAATCATTTTAAACAGTAGAATAAGTTTTCAGTGTATATACTGTTTCAAATGTATATATATATACTAGGTTTTACCCGCGACTTTGTTCGCGTGACCGGGATATATTTACTGATCAATATAAAAAATAGCTTATTCTCTTCTCTGTCCCATATAGTGCGTGTGTACCAAACATGAAGATAGGTTGGGCCGTTAAGGCGCCAAGAAGTAACAAACAAACTCACTTTTACTTTTATATTAAGAATAAGTGGATCGTCATGTTAAGTAGTTGAAATAAATTTAATTCTATTTTGTGCTTGCTCTGTCTATTTGTGTATTAGCGTGTTCGACTGTTGAGTTTCTTGCGGTCTCTTCTCAGCAAATAACAACTTTCCGAACCCTTTAGTAGATTTAAAAAATTACGATTTAAAAGTATTTGTAAACAAGTTGATTTGAATATAGACGATTGAAATTTGAATTTGTTATATTTTTCTTAGTATATTAATTTAAATATGGAACAGTATAAAGGTTACAGAAATAATAAAATTAAAAAGTTAAATGCACTTCTATTTTTTTAAAAAGCAACATATATTGAAATGGTTTTACTAGTATATATATATATATATATATATATATATATATATATATATATATATATATATATATAATACTAGTATTATATATTTTTCTTCATAGTTATAGATTTTAACTTCAAAACTTCAAAAGTCTTTTACAAATACAAATGACTTTATTGTGGATCATAGGTCAAATTGAGGTATTACATGAGTTAAATAGTATCTCCATGTCGTGCTATATAAGCGTACAATATATGGAATAGTTAACAGTATACAAAACATAACATTTAAAATTATATAGTGAAACAAAATATATTTATATGAGACATTATTTTTTACAAATGATGACTATTAATCCCTATCATTGATATATTCGTTTAAGCTATAATAACATTTATTTATTAACATATCATAAAGGTTCTTTTTAAAAACATTTGCCTCGGTCAATCCTCGTATACGTTTTGGTAATATAACTTTGAAAGTGTTCACAATAGGAACGTAGACACGTTTTTTATTCAACTTAGAATGGCAAATAAGCAACGTTAACCTATATTGCAGCAAATCAAGTTATCATTCATTCGATTTAAGCTGACAGCCCGCCTGATGAAAAGTATAAACTCTTGTTTGTGTATCATTGTGTTTTGAGTTCAATTTCCTCTGCACTAATTCTGATGAAAACCCCTTTGGAAGTTGATAATTTGAACTCCGATTCCTATGTACAAAGGAAATGATTAAAAAACATAATGGCTTCCTATTTGTGTCTACGGTCTACGGCGTAGTACGTGGCCGCCAGTTGCCGCTACGAGACCGCGTAGACAGTACGCGTCTACGACGCGCAGTTCCACGGTTACGAACTAACGGACAACTTCAGTAACTTTCGAAATATATATTTATTTGTTTAATTTATTATATAATTTTCTTTTATGACAATGTATTTCGTAATTTATATTAGTGGCAGTGGTGTACAAAAGTTTAAGAGAGTATTGAAACTTGTTGAATAAGTTTTTAAACGATAAATAACTTTGTAATGCATTTTTGTTGAGATATAATTCTTTATTGTCTATTTATTGTACACAAAAGGCTTTATTTTAGAATAAAAATAAACATAATAAAACGGCGAGCTTATCTCTAAAAGAAATTTTCTCTAGCAAACCCAATATGACATAAACTGACACTTTATTCAGTTACAGACATGTGAAACTATTTAAATATTATTATTAATAATAAATTAATATAATCAATGTGATAATTAATAAAAATGGTGTTGGACGACAATTATAACGATGTACCGCTCGAAGCGAGTACGTCTGAGATAGATAAAATCTTTTGGGATTACTTCGAAGTGACAACTACCACGAATTACAACTTGACCGGCATAACGGAAACGTTGCCGCGCGACCAGAGGGCAGTGTTGGCAACTTATGGTATGCTTTTGGCCATCGGTGGGCTTGGCAACTTGGCTGTGCTGGTGACACTCGCGCGTACTAGACGCAGGAAGTCACGAGTGGATCTTCTGATGACGCATCTGGCGCTAGCTGATGTGTGCGTCACTTGTGGGGTCATTCCATTAGAGGTATGTACAATAAGGATATTTTAAATTGTGTAAAGATTGAAATAAAATTGATTGCTATTTTACTATATGCAATTAATATATTTTAATTTTTATTTATCTATATTTATTTATATTTTAATATATGCGATTTTATTAATGTAATAAATTATTTAGTCGTCTAGTTCCCGGCATAGAATAAGCCACCCCGTTCTTTTCCCGTGAGTGTCGTAAGAGACTAAGGGAGCTTATAGTGGAGAGATGGACAGCGTCCCTATTAAAATATCACCAGGAACTAAACTGCGGTTGCTAACTCGCTTGTCAAGCGTGGCGACTACTAGGAAAAAGCTCCTTTATGGGCGAGGCTATGTTCAGCAGTGGACAGTTAACGGCTGGTATAATAATAATTAAATTAATTGAAATATTTTATAATATTTGTTTATAAAATAAAATTAATATACCTTGTATGATATTTGTTAAATTTAATAATAAATTCAAAGGATGTACTCGTATATTAATATTAATAAATTTAAATTTTGTAGCAATTTAATTTTATTCCCACAAATTTGATATCGTGCCTATGTAAGGTATTAAAATTCTAAAGCGATTAAGGTTGAAATATTTTTTATTTCGATCTTACAGTTTAGGTAACCAAGGACTCAACATAAAAATATATAACTTTAGTTCGTATTGTATTTGTACAGGCATCATGTAAAAACTACTGCACCAAATTAGATGCGGTTTGCACAGTTGTGTTCCTGAAAGTCTTAAAAACTGGTGGTTATTCTATCTTGTTACACTATCGAGAAATGGTAAAAATTATTGGTTTTGTTATTTTTGAAATTCACACGAAGTAGCGGGCAGAAAGAAAGTTATATTTATATTGACTGCTTGGTTACTTAATTTGTAAGGTCGAAATAAAATTTATTTCAACCTCAATCGCTTTAAAATTTTAATACCTTACATGGGCACGATATCTTATTTGTGGGAATAAAATTAAATTGCTACAAAATTTAAATTTATTACTCCTTTTCTTTTATTTATTCTCTTAGTAGTCTCTTACGACATCCATAAGAAAGGAACGGGTGCACCCATTCTATGCCGGAAACACACGGTATATTGATATATAAAATGGTCTTCTTTAAGAATTTTTGTTCCTACTGTAGTATAACTTTTATAATTATATAAATAAATTCCGTAGTTCTTATTCATTATTATTTACTTGATTTAAAAAAGTGTTTTATGTATAGGGATTTAAAAATCGTGATATTTAATCAAAACAACAGATCGCCTGTATGTGTTAGTCATTGATAATATAGATACCGATCCGATATCTATATATTTCGCACCTGTACTGCTCAGTTTGCTCCCACTTATCAGAACATTTCTCTGCTCAATTCTCAGATTGCTCAGCAGTCACATATTGATATATTTAATGACAAAATAGATATATTTTCAAAATGTTGTATAAAATTTGTAAGTTTGTAAAATAAACATATAACTCACTACACGTTTTGTGAGACTGTAAGTGTGGTGAGTAATTTTTAAATAAATAAATGAATAAATATTGAGTTCCTCTGGACCTTGATGGCGGAAAAAAGGTCATTACCCATTTTAATATCGCATATATTAGATATCTATTTTCGAACATGTTAAAAGTCTGTTATCTATATGTACATGTATTTTTTTTATAATAGACTTTTAACATATTCATTATTGGACAAATATATAGATTGTAAAATACATAGATACTGCTGTATACTACCCACCCTTAGTGCGTATTACTGTATTTCCTTCTATATTCAAATGTTTGTCTTCTTTGGGACCACAAATTATTTTCCTTGTCATTAGCGGCAAAACTTAGATCGGGAGATATTTTTTTGTATATTTTTTGTACTCCATCTACAAAGCTTAGAGTTTCGACAGCAAATAGGCATCAGTGTGGAAGAATTTATGTGTCTAGGAATTTGTATTTACGCCGTTTATTGCTATGTGCGGATTCCGGAGCAGCCCCTAAAATAGGTGTCGAAATGGGAAGAGGCAAGGCTATTCACATACGTCATGGCGTTACTATGGCCTTTCCAAGGTCCAGTTACATATTATCTGTCTATACTATAGAAAAAATATTGGTTTATCTTTTTTCATTCATATATAAATACATGTTTTTCTTATGACTTATTTATTTAGTATTGCAGGTGTTCATAGGCTACGGTAACCACTTACCATCAGGTGGGCCGTATACTTGTTTGCCACTTCAGTGGTATAAAAAAAAATGTTATTTTTATTTCATGACTTAGAATAGCAAATAAGCTGGTGAAGAAGTGATGGTGAGTGGTATTTTTTTTTAGTTTATACCACGAAGGTGTTAAACAAGCATACAGCCCGTCTAATGGTAAACGGTCACTGTAGCCTGTAGACGTTTGCAACACTAGGGGTGTCAAGTGCGCGTTGCCGACCTTGGAGAAACCTCAATATAGCCATTTTGTAGAATCCCCTACTGTTGTCTCTAGGGAAAACCTCGGCAGGGAGCTCATTTCACAGCCTCAGCATTTGCGGGAGAAAATTCCTTGTTAATTATTATTCATGTTCATTCAAGAACAACATCCGGGGCTTCACGGAGTTTCTTTTATGATTTGTCATACTTTAGGCTTAAATTCCTTTGAATCTGTGTTTAATTACATAATGTAATTCTTAGTTTATATAGGTCGTTTTAATTGTATATTGTATTTTTTATTTTTGTAATTAACACAATAATGTTCTTATTGTGAGTTCGTTTCTATGTTACCTCTTAGCGCCTTAACCGATCACTATAAAATTTGGTTACACGTAATATATGGAATGGAGAAGTGTTAGGCTACTCTTTATTCTGCTCTGTGAACATATCCAAAGTCGCGAATAAAAGCTAGTGGTTAATAAATATTTTTTTTAATTAAATAAAAAGATAGGGGGGAAAAGGATTGTTAGTAATGGAGATTGAGAATCCTATTGCTAGCAATATACCCAAACAGGTCGACCTCCTCGCGGTTCTCCCTGGAAACTATCATGGTTAATTCCTGATGAATTCATCATGATAGGCTAACTGGCCTGTTTTCATTCTCATCTATCACCCTTCACTGGTGCTCCGCCGGCGTATCCCCTTAGCGCAGGCGGGGTTACCATACCATTTTCATCCATCAAAAAAAAAAAAGATAAATACATTTATGACGTGAATATTAATAAATATGTATTTGTGAAGGGATGGAGAAATTTTGTTATCGAATTATGCTTCTTTTGATTTTGAAAAATTATACAATTATGTGAATATAGTTATGTAATTTTCCATGTTTCTTTTATTTATTTATTTACTTGGCAACGCATGGGGGGTATCATGGGCGAAACAGTATACTCTGTTATGTTCATGGTACTGCTTATGTCTATAGGCGACGGTTACCACTTACCATCAGGTGGGCCGTCAGCTTGTTTGCCATTCTAAGTTGAATAAAAAAATACTTTTTATTGCATCACTTAATAATACAAAGATATATTACAATTATGGAATAGAAAAGGCGGTCTTATCGCTAAAGCAATCTCTTCCAGACAACCTTACATTATTTTCTCAGGTCTCTTGTATAAGTAAAATTAAGAGACGCGTGTTACGGAATACTTGGAAAATCATCGTCTAATTCTGAAATCACGTCGAAAATGCAAATAACAGATTCGTGCAAACGGAGTCGTAAAGACCTAGTTTAAATATATTAACTTAGATAAATGTTATTTCAAGATAAAAATGTAGAGAGAAATTTCTGATTTCACTCATGAGATTATATTATTATCCTCTTAAGTTAAATGTAAATAAATTAAATGGAAATATTTAATTAAATTGTGTATATTAGAATACATATTATATTTTAATTAATAATACTTGAGAATACGAAACTCAGTACGGTATTTTGTATTGCAAATATTAATACTTTACAACTAATAACTATGAATTATTTGTATAAATAATAATAAACTCTTTATTGCGTACACTAGAAATGTATACAAATAGTATTTATACAGAATGTGCATATACAAAAGGCGGCCTTATCGCTAAAAGCAATCTCTTACAGACAACCTACCATAAATAGTAGATAAGTACAGAGAGAAAGGTAGATGGTGCTAGTGAGACACAGTAAATATAAAAAAGTAACCAAACAAAACGCTCAAAAAAAAAAAAAGAAAAAGAGAAAAAAAGTGAGAAAAAGAGCCACAGAAAACGAATGTTGCAAGTAAATTATTGTTAATTAAATTTTAGAAATATCTGTAGCTAACATACATGGTTGAATGATTAAGTAATTGCTTTAACGTGCATAATTTTATATGATCCATCATCAAAACATCAGCCGCTAATTGTCCACTGCTGGACATAGGTCTCTCCCTTGGGAGGTTATGATATTGATAAATGATTAATGATTTTCAATATATCTAACGTTGCATCACGGAGATTGTCACTAATAGGAGAGGAATCGTGGCCCAGTTTGTTATTTTTTTTATGCACCTTAGAATGGCAAACAATCTGACGGTCCACCTAATGGAAAGTGGTAACCGTCGCTTATAGACATGAGGAGTACTATAGAAATAACAGAGTATACTGTTACACCCATGATACCTCACATTCCTTGCCATTCCTGAGGACTCAGGTGTTATTCCTCTGTACCCTGTAAATTCACTGCTATATCCCACCCTTCAAACCGAAACATAGCCATGCAAACACAAATGCTTCACGGTTGAAACACGAATAGGATAGAGGTACCCAAGCAAATGACTTTGGAATGACAAAAGTCTTCCTCTGCTATCATTATGGCTATGAGCCTTCCCCATAGACTACCATGAGGAACTGTCCCAAGTCACCTGTATCCACTGACTCCCTGCAGTGCATTTGAGGTCGTCACTCCATCTAGTGGGGAGCCGGCCTGCGCTTGCCCGTACTAGTTCCAGTTTGCTATGATATGTATAAATTAGTATATAGTATTATATATTCTTATACTTTTAATTAGCAAATG